AGCGCAAGAAGTCTGTCCAGCATATTGGACAGGCCGAGAGGATGCTCATTGAGAATGCTGTCTATTATGTTGACCCACCGCAGCGCCCTGCCATCGAAGTGAAAGAGAGAACGCCTATGGAGCTCTTCATCCGCAAGCTGATCTATGGCGATCTCACCAAGAGGAACTACAGCAAGATCTTGAGACATATCCGCAGGCTGCATTGGGAAGAGAAAGAAGTTGTCGCGATCCTGCACAAGGTCTTCTCCAAGCCCGGAAAAGTCAAGTATGGTAACATCCATCTCTTGGCCATCCTGCTGAGCGCTCTCTACAAGTATCATGGCGAGTTTGTTGTGGGAGTCATTGATCAAGTGACCGAGTCTATCTGCCTCGGTCTTGAGCTGAACGACTTCAAGTTCAACCAGCGCCGCATCGCAGAGGTCAAGTACCTTGGAGAGCTCTATAACTACAGAATGTTGGAGCATCCCGTCATCTTCGACACCATGTATAAGATCATGACCTTCGGTCACGGCGGCCCGCCTGTACCAGGCCGCATCAACCCCTTCGATATGCCCGACGACTTCTTCCGCATCCGCCTCATCTCCACCATCCTTGAGACCTGCGGTATGTTCTTCAACAAGGGTGCTGCTGGCAAGAAGCTAGATTTCTTCCTTTCCTTCTTCCAGTATTACATCTACACCAAGAACCCGCTGCCCATGGACGTCGAGTTCCTCGTCCAGGATATCTTCTCCCTCACCCGGCCGCAGTGGAAGCTCGCCTCCAACCTTGAGGAGGCCTCCAAGGTGTTCCAGCTGGCCATGGCCCAGGATCAGAAGACATCTGGAGTTGAGCGGGTCGTCGAGCCCGAGGACAACGATAGTGACGTGTCCGACGACGAAGACGGCATGGTCCCAGATGAGGACGAGGACGACGAGTCGGATGACGACGATGGCGAGGCTGAGGATAACGACCAGCAGGATACCACTTCGAGGTATAACAGCGAATCTGAAGAGGAGGAGATTGTCGTCACCAGAGAGAAGACGGAGGTTGATCCCGAGGAGGAAGCCGAGTTCGAGCGCGAGTTTGCCAAGATGATGGCCGAGAGCCTTGATTCCCGCAAGTTTGAGCGCAAGCAGCAGTTTGATCTGCCACTTCCCATCAAGCTCAAGCCTCGCGAGAGCACGGGGGCTGGTGGTGGTGGCGAGGCCTCTGTCGCCAACGAGGCCGCTGGACCCTCCTCCTCGGATGCTGCCGCTCCTCCCTCTGGGGAGAAGATGGCTTTCTCTCTCTTGACGAAGAAGGGTAATCGCCAACAGACTCGCACCGTTGAACTGCCTTCGGACTCGCACTTTGCTATTGCTATGAAGAAGAAGCAACAGGCGGAGAAGGAAGAGCAGCAACGCATCAAGAACCTCGTCCTGAACTACGATCTTCGGGAGAACGATGACTACGAGGGTAGTGGTAACGAGAAACTTGGTGCCCATCACCATAGTAACCGCTCCGATCCTCGGGGAAACAAGGAGCGGGGTGGGCAGCGGGTGAGGAAGTTGCAGCTTAGTGATGTTGATTGGTAAGTCATTCATTGCTGCAAAGACTCGAGTTATCCAGGATCAAGCTCGCCGGGTTAAGAGGTGCCCGACAACCACGTACATGCTCCTTGACGGTCTCTAAGTGCAACTGGTGATCCTTCGACCCTACAGATTCTGGATAACTCGAGGCCTTGCGGTATTCGTGGTTATTCTTCAAGCAACATGGAATGCTAACTGGAATATTAGGACTTGATCATGGGCTGGAAGCGAGAATACGTACTATTCTTCCAACTACACCACCGTGGACAAGAAGCGCATCGCTTCCGCTATAGTTCGACGATTCATCTTGCAAGCAACTAGCTCACACAGCAACAGCAAGCAAACAAGACCACGTGTAGCTTTTTCAAAGCAGTTCACAAGATCACAGATCAGAATTCGCTGGCACTTCCACTCCTCATTCCCTTGGAGAGCAACAAGCACAAGCAACAGGCGTAAGCCAACAGCACAGCACCATGCCCGGCCGACCCCCGGCGAGTATACCAGCTATCGTATACTCGACGACAAGGGGCTAGGCAGACAATGGTCGTTGGCGGTTAGCATGGGGTGAGCAAGTAAATGTTGGGAGGTGGAAGGGGCGATGGAAAGAAGGGTGACGCGGACAACCAAACAACCCTTCTAAGCGAGCGGTACCGGCTATTTACACTAGCGGTGGAACTGTTATTCACACTGGCAGGACTGGATCTGGGTCACTGTATGCTTCCAGTTCTTCTGGGGTGCATATCAGTATCGCATCGGACTGACAGGGGAGGGCTTAAAGGTAGTGTTGCTGCTCACAGCGAAGGGTCAGCCTAACTGAATCGCTTGACGGCCGTGAGGAAGCACAAAAGACGACCTCTTACCTAGAGGAGAACCTGACGGCTTCAGAACATGAAAAGGGGAGAGGGAATAAGATATGCGCCGTAGGAAGGAAAAATAATGGGGCGCGTGTTTGGTGTACTTGACGTTGACGAGAAATGCGAGCAAGAAGAAGCGAAAACCAAAAAGAAAATACTAGATAGATTTTTTTTTGATCTTCTCCAGGCTCCTAGCACCGAACCGTGTTGAGTGCCTGGTGAGAAGCTAAGCCTGAGCTCAGGTGATTCTACATACACTTTCCTTTCGTTTTAGGTCCTCAACTCGCGGTCGTAGGCAGGGAAAAGTAGGTAGTGTTGGTAAGTGAATAAGGGAAGGTAGCGACCCGGATGGGGTGAGTTACTCAAAGCAAAGTTGTAGTGAGGTTACTCAAAGTTTGGTACGGGTGTTTCCCTTTCCCTTTGCGTACCACTCTACCGCACTACCTCACTACCTCCCGTCTACACTCAACCTCATTACCAAAGAGGGTAAACAAGCTTTTGCCTAGATCCCTTTTCCGTTCCAGGCCGGGGGACACACAAGCATTACTTTCTTCTAGAAACTCGATCTCGTGGAATCCAATGGTCTTCGCCGCAGCGGATACACACAGCCCAAGCTCTCAGAACAACAGCGCAACGGCAAGCAAGAGGCGGACGGTTGTGGCTCCAGCACAAATGGAAGGGTCGGCGATAACGGTAACGGTAACGGTAACAGCCACAGGTTTTGGTTATGGTTACGGTTACACCACTGCTCCATCGGGCATCATGTTTGTGCACTACAATACACGACTTTGCTGCTGCTCATGATCGCGGGAATGGTCGGTCGTGGTCGTGGATACGAGCATAGATATGTAGGTATGATGTTGTGTTTCCTGAGTACGCTAATGTTTATTATCGAGTTTGATTCGACCCATTGAATCGTGCCAGTCAAATGAGATATGAGATGGACGTAAATGGGATGGGGCTGTTGTGTCATTGCAGTGTTTCAACGTCAAGCATTTTTCTTTCCAACCGTGACTTCACTGAAGAAATATTGGTTGACTTTCTCCAATCTGAGAAAACCGGAGAGAAGAATTCAGATGTAGATCAACGCGTCGTTTTCTTGCATTCTTCAATGTCTCACTTTGGGACGAATAACGATATCCTCCGTTGAGTGCGGTTGATGTGTAGATGTTTTGGCTTTGATGAATGATTGACCGAAACCAGAATTGTGCGAAGATCCTTTTCTTCACCTCCAGCTTCTGATACCATATTATTCTTTTTCTGTTCAGTTTCCGTCTGCAGAAAGAAAGGGCCGATTCTGCCAATGTATTCCTTCCTTCTCACATCCATCGACATAAAATCTACGGGAGGCGGAAGTAGACGTTAAAAATAACAACAACAAATCCATCGACATAAACACGGGAAGCGGCCGGGTGGCCGGCTGGGTGGTGACCGACGCCGGCTAAAAAGCCATCTTTTCATTTATCTCGATATTGGACATCCCGTTGCCGTCTGGCCAGAACCAGATTTCTTGTCATCTTTTCTATATCCAACGTCGTTTTCTTGCTTTTCGAGTCGTCAGCTTCAATTTGTTCAGCTTCTCGGCTCGGCAGTATGTGCCTTTGGCTTCAAGTCCTGGGTGGGCAGGCAACATTACATTCTCCGGCTGCCATCATCATCACTACTACTGCAGCGTCTCGATTGTTCTCTTTGAACAATTTCATAGTTTCCGGTTCGGTTCATTGCTTTAATTCCTTGCTCGCTCGGAGGACATGCATTCTCACACGATTGATTCTAACCCCTTGCCCAGGTGTCCAGGTCTCCGAAAGTAGACACATAGTCGAGAGAGCACAACATGAAGCCTGGTGCAGAGTGCAGGTAAGTAGTAATTTAGGCGGTATACAGACAAGACAAGGCGCTGGGGATATACTAGTGTGCCAGTTTTGAATAAGATGTTGGAGGATTCCCATCCCCTCATCTGCTTTCGGGAACAGGAGTTTTGCCTTGCTTCTTGCTTTGCCCCTCCCTCCTATGGTTATACGAAAGTGTGTCTTCATCGAAACGCCAACCCCCACGAAAGAGAGACACTGCCCTTCCTACCCGGCCGCTGGATCTACATACATACACATGTCGTGTTCAAAGGCGTGCGTTGTGTTGTATCGTCTTGTCTCGTCCTGCAACCACCCGCCGAGCAAGCTGTCTTGACGACTCAGACGACTCAGGCGACCCAGGCAGACATCAACAAAAATTTCACGTTTTTGAGAAGAGGAAAAGATCTCGCGTTTGCTGCATCTTCCCGTCCCCGTCCCCGTCTCCGTCTTCGGGAGGGGACACCGCTTGTTGGGTTGAAAGTTATTTCCCGCCTCGACATATGCGGGTTAAGAGAAGGAGAGGAAGGGTGTAGAAGGTGACACCCCCCCTGGGCTTCTCTGCGTTCTTTGCAGGTTTTAACGGTTTCTGATTCATTCCTTCTCTTGGTGGTTTTGGAGAGGCTGCTATATACCCACACCGGACAATATCGACACTTGCCTGCGCCTGGTTGTTTCTTGCGAGCGATAGAGAGTTACTGAATTGAAAAGAAGATTTAGGGGAAGGAGAAAGAAGGGACAAGCGAAGCAACATGACTATCAACTATCTGGGGGAGGATGAATGGCCGGTGAAAGAGGTAAGCCTACATTGCATCTCGGGCCTCGGTGAAGGATGAAGAGGATGTCCTAGCTAACTACTGTGCTCTCGCCTTTAGATCGTCTATACGGCCATCGTGGGACTAGTCATGCTTGCAGCATGTCTCGAGTGGTTCTTATGGATCGCAGCGTTCATGTATTGCCTCGTGAAGGTATTCATGAAGGCAGAACACTGGACGGTTAGGGTGTTGTCAGTGATAATAGGGACTGCGTTTATGTTGCTGAGGTACCTATGTTCCGCCTCAACCCTCCTTACGGCCATCAATGTCTGGCTAACATGACTGATCCCTCTAGATGTATCTTCCTACCCATCATGATCGTCACCCTCCCACTCCCAAGCCAAGTCGTCAAAGTCTGGCCAACAGCCATGGTCGGCTTCCTACAATGGTTCGCCTTCTACAGCTTCGCCGGCCTGCTCACTATTCCCTGGCTCTTCTGCGTCTACCAAATCGTCACTCACCAACTGGGCCGCACCAAGCGCATCAAGCAAGTCCTCGACGAAGTGTCCGCGCCCAAAGTCGTCATCGTCATGCCCTGCTACAAAGAAGACCCCGAAGTGCTTATAACGGCCATCGACTCCGTCGTCGACTGCGACTACCCTCCTTCCTGCATCCACGTCTTCCTCTCTTTCGACGGCGACCAAGAAGACGAGCTCTACCTGAACACCATCGAGAAGCTGGGCGTTCCCTTGACGCTCGAATCCTACCCCAAGTCGATCGACGTCGCCTACAAAAACGCGCGCATCACCGTCTCCCGCTTTCCGCACGGCGGGAAAAGGCACTGCCAAAAGATGACCTTCAAGCTGATCGACCGTGTATATCGCGAGTACCTGAAGCGCAACGACAACCTGTTCATCCTGTTCATCGACTCGGACTGCATCCTCGACAAGGTGTGTCTGCAGAACTTCGTCTACGACATGGAGCTCAGCCCGGGCAACCGGCGCGACATGCTGGCCATGACGGGGGTGATCACCTCCACGACGCAGAAGCATAGCTTGATCACCCTGTTGCAGGACATGGAGTACATCCACGGGCAGCTGTTCGAGCGCACCGTCGAGTCCGGGTGCGGCGCCGTCACCTGCTTGCCGGGCGCTTTAACCATGCTCCGGTTTTCTGCTTTCAGGAGAATGGCCAAGTACTACTTCGCCGATAAAGCGGAGAACTGCGAAGATCTGTTCGACTACGCAAAGTCGCACTTGGGCGAGGACCGCTGGCTGACGCACCTGTTCATGATCGGAGCCAAGAAGCGGTACCAGATCCAGATGTGCACGTCCGCCTTCTGCAAGACCGAAGCCGTCCAAACGATGGCGTCGCTGATCAAGCAGCGGCGCCGGTGGTTTTTGGGATTCATCACCAACGAAGTGTGCATGTTGACGGACTGGCGGCTGTGGAAGCGGTATCCAATCTTGATCCTGGTGCGCTTCATGCAAAACACCATTCGCACCACAGCGCTGCTCTTCTTCATCATGGTCCTCGCCCTGATCACCACCACAAAAAAAATCGACGACCTCCCCGTTGGTTTCATCGCCATCTCGCTGGGTCTCAACTGGCTGATGATGATTTACTTCGGCGCCAAACTGCGCCGCTTCAAGATCTGGTTGTACCCCATGATGTTCGTCCTCAACCCCTTCTTCAACTGGTACTACATGATCTACGGCATCTTCACCGCCGGCCAGCGCACGTGGGGCGGCCCGCGCGCCGACGCCGCAGCCGCCGACTCGACCACCACCGCGCAGGAAGCCATTGAGATTGCCGAGAAGACAGGTGACGACCTTAACATCGTTCCGGAATCATTCATCCCCGCCGCTCAGGAGCGCAAGGGCATCCTGTCGTCAGAAGACAAGGGCTTCACCACGGGCACTAGCACCGGCGGCGGCCTCGGCCGCTCCAAGAGCATCCTCCAACCGCCAGACAAGCTGGTCGGCAAGTTTGCTGCGCCCGAGCGGTCTGCAAACGGGATGTATCAGCACTTTGACGACTCCATGGCTTCCGTCAGTTTGTTTACCCACGCTGGCGGGTCCTCATTGATGTTACCTACCGTAGCCGGTTCCGCGACTACTAGCAAGCGACACCACCATCAGCATCAGCATTCCCAGCAGCAATACCACCCACAGCAATATCACCACCAACACCAACTCCAACACCGTGACTCCTTTGATAGCACCTTCTCCATGCACACTACCGGCGCAAACAGCATGTCAGTGTACATGCCCCGTCGAGTAGAAAGTATCATGGGGGAAGAAGACCGGAGGAAGTACGAGCTGGCGCAGGCTAGCTCGGGACACCTGGTTTCCGGCAACCCTACCCGCGTGTTGGGACCGCAACAGCAGCAACCTCCCCCCGGCCAGGTGTACGAGTTTTCTGAATCGGAACTGAGAAGAGCTGGGTTTTATACCGACGCGGTACCAGATTATGGACGGCCAGCGCTACCTTCGGGGTCACCGCAGCCGCAGCCGCATCGTAGGTTGGCGAGCAGTGACAGTTTTGACTCCGTTGGGCGGCCGTCTGGTTCTCCTACCCCTTATCAGGATCATGGGTATGCACAAGAAGGATATGGACAGAGGCAGCAAGGAGGAGGATCAGGGTCGTTTTCTGTGCCTATGCCACCTGCTCCAGCTCCGAGCGGAACAGGTCATCAGCAGCAACAACAAACGGGGAGGAGTCCCCTGGGTAGAGCGAGCTGGGTGAGGACGTCGACTATGGACCAGGTTGAGAGTGAGATTGAAGCGTCACACGGTAGGTTTTCTGACGCCCCTGGGCATGGAAGGAGAGGAGGGCAGGGGCAGAGTTCGAGGGGATAGGGACAGAGGTAGTTTGGGTGAGGTTTCGGGGTGCTGAGGAGGTAAAATGGTGAAATGAACATGACGGTGATGGGGTAACTGGGGGAGGGATCAGAAGAGAGAAGTGGTAGAGCTAGGCAGGGTAGACAGGGCACGCTGGGTACTTAGGCTAAGTACTACCCCTTTTTTTGGGCTGTGTCTGGATATGGAGATGTCAACATTGGGGTGGTTACTGGGACAACGGACAACACTTGTAGTTGGATATCATGAGCTGACGAGGGTGTTTTTTTCTGGATTGTTGGTATTTGTATCATAAGCTGCGTCAGTGAAAGACATGTAAATAGCCAATATGTATCTAAACTCGTGAATATTGCAAAGGGGTTCATGTTCAGCAGAAACCCAGCGAACTCATGAACAGGCTTGAACGTTTCTGGAATGTTGATAAGCCAAATCCTGAGGTAGTAATAGTGCAGAACTTGTGAAGAACCGCAGAGAATAACCTGAGCCAAGAGCTCATTTGTCCTACAGGATTGGAAGACTTGTTGAACAACTTGGTTGGAAATTTACGGAAGCATCTGGTAAGAAGAAGAAGGGAGTGGTCGAAACTGGACATGCACTCCCACCTTGTGAGTAGGTCTCGAGAAGCACTTTAGGGGTTGAAGCTTCCTGACGGGAATCGGTGATGTAAGTTCAGTGGTCAGGTGGTGTGTATAAGTGCGGTGAAGTATGCTCTCCAACCTTCCAAAGTACTCCCTTCCGAAACATCACGAACTCAATTGCCAATCTCTGTCTGGTACTGCCAAGCCGATGCAAAGAGATCTGGAACTTCCACGAAACTTCGTGACGAGCGGGATAACTGAAGGCATCACCGGCACTGCCGTATGTACTAGCCTTGCAAAAATATGAATCTTCATATGATTGATGCATAAGAAATGTTGGTATAACCGGTCCACCCGGGGGTTTTGAAGTCCGTCTCAAAGTGACTGGTCAATAGTCATAGGAGCCCCTCGGAACCCAAGGGGGGCAGCACGAGGGCAGCACGAGGGCAGCCAAGAAACCCAAGAATTGTGCGCCTGGGTTAGGATTGGGTAAGTGTTATGTACAAAGTACCACAGCGACTCCAGCAAGTATCCAGTGCTGTATGTCAGTCATGTCAGTGTACCTGCTTGGAGGCTATGTATGTGTCAACATGATCTTGGGACAATCTTGGCCTTATGGATGCCCCTTTGGGATCGTGCAATTGGCGAAGTGGAAGGTGTTCCGGGGAAGGGCCCCGCTGGTTGACGTGGGAGGCGAATTTGGCCCCCGGACGGAAAGTGAGGCTATCATGAATTGAGGCTTCAGTGGGCGGCGAGGGTTGTAAGAGGCGGGAGGATCGGGGATCATTTTTGGTAGTCTATTGCCGCTTGACAGGAACCGTGAAAGATGGGAGCGAACGAAAGAGGCGGACAAGAAGCTTGACAGTCGGTTGAAGAAGACGTCCTGAAGATCATCACTCTTGTCCACTCGTCCGTAAGCCGTCAAAGTGCAAGTGCCTGCCTAACAATGACTGCCCAGACCACACTGTTTGACTGTTGTCCCTTTGGGCGGTGAGATGGGGCACAAGATGTGAAAACCCAGACTTTGAAGAGGAAAGTGGGGTGATAGACACCCTCCTTGGGGTGAATGGAGTGATAAAATGGGATGGCAGTGATGGGAAAGCTTATCAGTAGCCGCTATGCCATTGACCCCGCCGTCCTGTGTCATCCAGTGCCTGCCTGCTGTTGGCAGTTCAGTTTGCTTTGCTGCTGCTGCTTGCCCTGTGAGTGACGTGCCTTGTAACAACATCTGTGATGAGTTCGAGAACTGCTTCTGGACTTTGACTCCTGTCTCCCGGATCAAGTGCCACCGACAAGGTCAACCTGACTTACCAGCATTGTCATAGCTACACTGTTACAGAATTGAAAGAGATGCCTTTCAAGATGACAGCTCGACATTTGTTCAGTCCTGACACAAGCCCGAGTCAACCAGGTCAGGATGGCAGGGCCAATGGGCGCACCAATCGAGAAGCTTCTCCCAGCTTCTGGGGATGACTTGGCCCAGACAGGACCCCCCGGGGGCGGGGTTAGAGGGGCACATTTGGCAGGATTGGGGTCCTCAAGGTCCCTGTAGCCCGACGGATACTTGTTGCCCACGCCTTGCCCGTTCGCAGAGTCCAGTGGTCGGGCAACATTTTTTGCTGATTTTTTTTTATGAGGCTCCAGTTTGCTTGGTCTTTCAGTCCACCTGTCCCGCCGCTGAGAGGGAATCCACTTTTGCGATAAACTTCACACTGCCTCCGGTCCAACTGCAACAGTCTGCGCTTTCCACTTCTGTGACTTCAACGTTTGAACATCTCCATATCCGCCCATTCTTTGCCTGTGTCAACGTCTCCTTGTTGTCCTCTAAACCTCCATATACCCCCAACGCAGACCTTCTTTGTTGTGGTGAGCAAACCAACGACCCCTCCATATCTCCAACATCATATCCTCCCGACATCTACACGCATCATACACAACCTTTCTATCTCCCTATCGACTACCCCTCCCCTACCAAACCAAGAGGCCTCACTTTACTTTTTGAAGCCTTAAGGTGTTCCCCCATACCACCTTACTCGATACATAAACACCACCACCACTACCGCACGAGATACCCCCAGAGTGACCAGTTTTATTTACACATAGTCTTTGCTTTTGCAGTTCTTCATATCCAACCGCCACCATGTCTGTCGTCGGTATGTTACCAATCTTCCCTTCCTCCCTAACCAAACTATCGCCGGTCCCGGTGAAGGACAAGAGAGCTTGCGCTAACAATGGGCCCTGCAGGTGTTGATTTCGGCGCTCTTAATACCGTCATTGCCGTTGCCAGAAACCGCGGTGTCGATGTCGTACGTACCCTTCTCGATCTCGGCCTTCCTCTGGTCATCGCCCCCAAGCTCATCGCATAGACTCTGTCTCCAAGGGAAGAGGAGGATAGCTTTGCGCCGGGACGATAGCGCCTTCACACACGCTGTGGACACCCAAGTACTGACGAACCTCTGTCTGACAGATCACAAACGAAGTTTCCAACCGGGCTACTCCTTCGCTCGTTGGCTTTGGCCCCAAGAGCCGGTATCTCGGTGAGCCCGCCAAGACCCAGGAGATCTCCAACCTGAAGAACACCGTCGGCTGCCTCAAGCGCCTCGCCGGCCGTTCCCTCAGCGACCCCGATGTCGCCATTGAGCAGCAATTCATCTCCGCCCCCTTGGTCGACATCAATGGCGAGGTCGGTGCCGAGGTTACCTACCTCGGCGAGAAGCGCCAGTTCACCTCCACAGAGCTCATTGCCATGTTCTTGAGCAAGATCAAGCAGACCACCCAGGCTGAGGTCAAGGTCGCCGTCCAGGAGCTCGTCATGAGCGTCCCCGCCTGGTTCACCGACAAGCAGCGCAGGAGTCTCATGGATGCCGCCGAGATCGCCGGCCTCCGTCCCCTCCGCCTCATCAATGACACCACCGCTGCCGCTCTCGGCTGGGGTATTACAAAACTCGACCTTCCCGCCCCCGAGGAGAAGCCCAGGAGAGTCGCCTTCGTCGATGTCGGCTACTCCAACTACACCTGCTCCATTGTCGAGTTCAAGAAGGGTGAGCTTGCCGTCAAGGCTACCGCCTACGAGCGTCACTTCGGTGGCCGCAACTTCGACAAGGCCCTCCTCGACCACCTTCAGAAGGAGTTCCTTGGCAAGTACAAGATCGACATCTTCACCAACCCCAAGGCCGTTTGCCGTGTCCTTGCCGCTGCCGAGAAGCTCAAGAAGATCCTTTCTGCCAACCAGCAGGCTCCTCTCAACATCGAGTCCCTCATGAACGACATTGATGTCCGCGCCATGATCACCCGCCAGGAGTTCGAGGCCATGGTCGAGCCCCTCCTCGCCAAGGTCCACGTTCCCCTCGAGCAGGCCCTCGCCGACGCCAAGCTCACCAAGGAGGATATCGACATCGTCGAGGTCGTCGGTGGTGGCTCCCGTGTTCCCGCCGTCAAGGAGCGCATCCAGGCTTTCTTCGGCAAGCAGCTCTCTTTCACCATGAACCAGGATGAGGCCATTGCCCGTGGCTGCGCTTTCAGCTGCGCTATCCTCTCCCCTGTCTTCAAGGTCCGCGACTTCCAGGTCCAGGATGTCATCAGCTACCCCATCGAGTTCGCCTGGGAGAAGGACGCCGATATTCCCGATGAGGACACCAGCCTTGTTGTCTTCAACAAGGGCAACGTCCTCCCCTCCACCAAGATCCTTACCTTCTACCGCAAGCAGCCTTTCGACCTCGAGGCCAAGTACACTAACCCCGATGAGCTCCCCGGCAAGACCTCTCCTTTCATTGGCCGCTTCTCGGTCAAGAACGTTCAGGCCACCGAGGGTCCTGAGGACTTCATGATCTGCAAGCTCAAGGCTCGCGTCAACATTCACGGTATCCTTAACGTTGAGAGCGCCTACTACGTCGAGGACCAGGAGGTCGAGGAGGAGATCAAGGATGAGAACGGCGATGTGAGTAATATTCTTATTAGTGAAGACGGGAAGTCATCGAAAAATCCCATGAAGCGCCGGAAACTTTTCGACGGTTCAGCGGAGTCTCTCGATGGTGGAACGCACGAAAATTTGGACGACGGAAAGCTAACCCACGAGAAGGTTGTCATGGACGGCGACAAGCCCAAGACCCGCAAGGTCAAGAAGCAGGTCCGCAAGGGCGAGCTTCCCATCGTCAGCGCCACCCAGTCCCTCGAAGCTTCCGCCAAGAACGCTGCCCTTGAGAAGGAGCAGGCCATGATCATGGAGGACAAGCTCGTTGCCGACACCGAGGAGAAGAAGAACGAGCTCGAGACCTACATCTATGACCTCCGCAACAAGCTCGACGACCAGTATGCTGATCTCGCCTCCGAGGAGGAGAAGGAGAAGATCAACGCCAAGCTCATGGCTACTGAGGTATGTCGCGATTTCGTGCCTGAGTAAGTGACCAGCTGATACTAATCAAATCAATAGGACTGGCTCTACGATGAGGGTGACGATGCCACCAAGGCCGTCTACGTCGCCAAGATTGAGGAGATCCGCGCCCTTGCCGGCCCCGTCGTCCAGCGCCACTTCGACAAGGTCGAGGCCGAGAGGCAAGCCGTCCTCGAGAGGCTCGAGGCTGAGAAGGCCGCCAAGAAGGCCGAGCAGGAGGCCCGCAAGGCCAAGGAGGCTGCCGAGAAGGCCGCCCAAGAAGGTGCTAAGGACGAGGAGATGACCGATGCCGATGCTCCGAAGCCTGTCGTCGAGGAGGCTTAGAAAGTTGTAAACTTGACGCAGGAGGAGGAAAAGGCCGAGGACACTCCGGACTCAGAGTCGGGGGCACCGACCCCCGCGGAGTCGACGGAGACGGAGACCGAGAATTCGAACAAGATGGATGTGGATGCGGTATTGAATTAAGATATAACATGCTATGCCCTACTCCAAAGAGAGAGAGAGAGAGGCGCAAAGCTTGTTAATGATGAACTGAAAGAAGAGAAAGAGACCAGCATACCCAACCACACATACCCACTCATACTTTCACACACACGCACATTCATATTCATATTCACGTTTACGTTTTGTTTGATCTTATGACCGATTCGATTTCGAAATTCTTCAAAGACTTTGTATGGTGTTGTTATAGCTTTTGTATTTTTTTCTTTTTTTATGACGGCTCACGGATAAGGGGGGAAAAGACGGAAATAAAAGTTTCTATTTGATACACAGCTTTCATAGATGGAAAAGAATTTCAAAGAGAGAGATAAATGTTTCAGAACACTGATCAGGATACTTTTTTTGCGAATTGCTATGTGTTCAAGTGTAAAAGAACTTCGGAGGTGCATGCATTATTCACCAACTGCCAAAGAGAAAATCAACATTGTCATATTGTATGAAGGTGGATTCAATGGTTGGTTCTTCGACAATGTTATGCTCACCCATCTATCAAACAAAATCTCGTTGCTCTTCTTTGGAACATAGGCACTGGGGACACATAATTGGTGATGATACCAACTTCGATTCCCGCTACCTAAGCTATGATGCAATGAAGAGAGAAGTGAAGAGGGAGACGAAGGTGAAAAGAGAGGCGAAGAAAAATAATAATAAATCTACAGAGAGTGTAGAGCAGGTGAAGGGAGAAGTAGAATTATTTCGAAAATCACATTTAACAACAACTGTCACAGAGCGCATTGAGCCACTACTTGGGGG